CAGCGTTGCACAAGCCCTGATACGATGCAACCCGCGTAGTAACCTCTTCCCACCTCGCCAACCCTTCCTTCTCTCTTCCCTCTCTCGTCACTTGGCCTTCAAATCCTCTCCTGCGGATACGATCCTCACTTCCCGTGATTACTCGCGATTTTATCCTAGACGCGAAAAGTGCGCCGCAGTTACCGGTCGTGGTTTTTGAAAGAATGGCAGTACGAAGTAGTGTGCGTGTTCTCTCTGTGAATTGTGAGCCGATGGTGAAAGAAAAAGAGAGTCGAAGGACGGAGAAGCGAGAGCAAACCAGAAAAACGAGGACTGAACCATTAAGAATACACCCTCTTGAACGCGGAACGACCCACTCCCCACCCTTTTCTTACTCATGTTTTTGTGTCCTTTCTCGAGACTCTCACAAAAATTCCGCAACCGGTTGACAATCGTTTCGCGTACAAAACATCGGGCGATCGGACTTAAATTTTTCGCCACAGGATATCAAGTATATTTTACAATACGATGATATGTTATCACAAACGACAGCGTCCTGAGAACTCCAAAAAATTTCGCATATTCAACTCGTTCAAGTCGATAATTTTTATATTCGTCCATTACTAAACAAGCCATCTATATTCCAAAGAGATCATCCTTCTATCATTATTTCCGCGAATCCGTTTAGCTCCCTGAGAATCTCCGTGTGTACTTCGAATTATCATCGAGGGACCGAACAAGGACAATTCCGTACAGGTGAGTCCGTGAGCCCGGGAACGATGCGAAGAAGCGAAGGGGAGGCAAGAAGAGCGGAGCAGGCGGGTTGTTCAGCGGGGTTATGCGAGACATTCAGACTCTATCCGCGGTGGCAGAGACTGAGGTGGCATTTAAGGATTACCGGAGTTTAGCATAATATCAGCAGGTGGGAGGAGGACAACAGGCCGGCGTCGTCGGGGCGATGAGAGGGCGACGGATGAAGGTGAGGCCCCGGCGAGGAGGAATGCATCCGAGAAGGGGTGCAGGTATTATTCATGGATTACCTCACTTGTCTCGGCTACAATCCTCCCAAAGCCTCCATTAGAATAATTGCTTCTTCATCTTCGCGCTTACGCGGTCGCTACCGCCTACCGTTCCGCGATCCGTTTCTCTTCAAAGAGAAAAGAGGCATGCACCGACTTCGCCACCAGCGTGGCCCGTTTCGCACGCGTCGCGCTTCTATACGCACGCAACCTATTTTTCTTGCATTGCTCACGAGATTTGCTTTGGCTTGATACGAAAAGAAGTGTGTCACGCAATCTCGTGAGAAGATTTATCGCAGAAAGACAAACATCAGATACAGATACATTACCGGCTCGAAATAATGAGGTATATATGTATTACTGCTTAAAAATTCTGAATACTTTACCTGCTAAATAAATGAATCCTTTTTCTACAAATACAATTATGTTACAAAAATATCGATATAAAAGTATTGACATTGTTCAAATAAAATTAATAATAAAAACAATTTATATTCTATTCACTCGTATAAATAATTTTGCTATTATTTTAATTTTTAATTTTATTTAAATAATTCGTAAATAAATACTCGATATTTTTAATAAAATAATTTTATCAACTTTTTATCTAAAAATAAACTTTAAATTTTTAAGCAGCGGTGTATATAATTCAAATAAGGATATAATCAAATAAATTAGTTTGCGAAACTTGGTTGTATAAATAAAAAAAGTAAAAAAGTCTTGAATAAGAATAAAATTTGCTGAGATCTTATTTTGCATTTATAATAATATTAATTAGAGCATCCTTACTTATTCTGCATTTTTTCCTGCGTTCGAAATATTAATTTTTTAGATTTTTATATTTTGCGAAGCTTGGTTGCATTCGAGTTTGCACGCAAATTCCATTCTACTGTAAAGAAAAAAACTACAATATACATCCTAGTTGCGGAAGTAGACCGAGTGGTAGACCATTAGCTAGGGAGGAAGTCTTTTAAGAACAAGGAAGAGAGTGCCGAGCGATCCCTTGAAGTTCCAGAAGTGCGAGCGAGAAGTTGCGAGAACAGACTGGTCTACTCGAAAACTTTGCGTTCGTCGTCGAATAATCAACGCCGACTATTCACGACGCCGCCTTTTAACTCGTTCGCCATGAGTAACGACGACTATAGTCGACCTGACAATTATAGTCCATCAAAAACTCGGCCGTCTATAATCACCGAGACAAGAACCGACCGACTAAATTTATGTCCGAAAAGTATCAATGTCAGCTTTTTTTTATTTCTCTTACAGAATTCCAGGATTCTGGATTTCCAGACTCTCTATGACTCTCTCCACTCTCTTGAAGTGAGTAAAACAGATAAAATGCATTCTTACAAAAAATAAAAATTAAGTTCTCTTTATGCCTATGATAATGTATATAAAGTTGTCAAATTAATCAAATATAAGTGTTTTATAATTGATTACGTACAGAAGATAATTTTATTTTCAGACACTTATTTGCGTAAGATATTTCTATAGCGAGATATATAACATAAACGCTCTATGCCGTACTGACAAAAGTACCTCGCAATAACGCGCAACCGCAAGTCACGGCGAGCATTTAACACCCGCGCCAACTGCGGCGCGCAAGAAGGAACGATTAATGTCCCTTAAATTAATTACGATGCCGCGCGGACGAAGGCGGCAAGTGGATACACGACGATGAGGCAATGTTCTCGAGGGATTCGACGATCGGTGCGGAAACGAAGAGACAGAGACGGATTCTGGGAATCGTCGCACGTACCCGGCAATGCGAGATGAAATGGTAACAAGCGAGGTTCGCCGCGCGTAACTAAATATTCGCGAGAAGGCGCGTTAAGACAACGTTGGCGACGGAGGAAGAAAAAAGGAAGATTCGACGCCCGTCTGCGGACGCGAAACAGGTCGTCAATTTCCATCTATCCCTGCATCCGTTGTCCCCGTCGCGCGCGAAGAAGAGAATCGTCGGATACTACTGGAGACAATTTATTCTCACGGTCTCGCGCGCAATTTGCTCAGCCACTCCTTTCCCTCCGCCACCTCTCCCGGGCTTGTAACGAGGATAACGAGAATCATCGAATGAGAACCCGCCGTCGCGGCCTGAAATCGCATTTCACGCGACATTTCCCGCGCGGCATCATACCTCGCGCGCCGATCTCCGAGCCGTCAGAGACGGGCAGGAGGGATAAATTTTATTTAATTCTTCGTTTCTCGCGTGCGCTATCAGGTACGCTCGATCCGCGCGCGTGAGCGTCATATTATCGAGTTTGCCTTCTCGGTAAACAACGACGTTGAAAATTTGCAATGATGGAAATGGAGAATAAATTGTAATATGAATATTAATGGCTTATCAAACTTTTAAAAAGTTTTCGAATACGTTTTGCGCGAGCCGGATATAATATTTTTAATCTAAGTTTGTTAAAATATATGCAGTGTTTGTTGATAAGTTGATATTTTAAAGCAGTAATAGTATTACAACTTTTTTTCTTCTTAATAAATATTATATCTGTTTAATTTCTTTAAAATTGAGAACGTTGGCAGTATTTACCAACATCTAATATTTAAAATATACAAAAGTGGAAAACTTACTTTAGAAAACTACTTAGAAAAGTCTAATTTTCCAAAGTAAAGTTTAATTTATATTCTTTTATACTCTTACTTTTTTTATATGAAAAACTGTATACATTTCTTTATAATTTGCATAAATTTCGTAAGAAACTTAGTTTATAGTAAGAATTAAGTTAAACAAGACACGAGTATTTTAATCGCAACACCACATAAATGCATATCTACTATCAGTGGTAACTTTTCAGTGAAAAGTCACAGCATTCGAGAATGCCGGCAGCACTCGTCGCATTATTTGTCGTTAAGTGCATGAAAGCTTTTTTTCGAGTGCTTAATACAAGCTTGCGGTTAATAGCGGTGCGTTATTATGCTCGCAGAAACACACAAGTGTGTCGCAGTTTAAAGTGTCTCTACTTCGGCACCGCACGAAAAACGCGCCAGCCTAACCTTTTATGGATTCTTTGTAGAAGCGTCATTGTACTGGGTGTCTCCAATTCATCGCATTTTTATTTATAAATTTATTATATATTCATGCTTTTGCAAATATATATTTTTGTATTTTCGAAGTTACTGAATTATTACGTTTTTCTGTATTTTTATTCTTTACTTGTCATTTTATTCTTTATTATATTTTACACCATCTCTCTTATATTTTAAAATTTTATCAGCATTCTAAAAATTCTTATATCTTTAAATTCTAGAAACATCGCATTATTAAATTTTAAAATCTTTGAATATATAAATTAAACTGTGTGAATATACAAATTTTATATAGTCTCTAGTCTATTTCAAATTTAAAGCCCAAATTTCAAATATTTAAATCAAATATTTAAATTCTAAAATATTTAATAGTCCACAAAAGTTTAAATTTTTTAACACTTTCAAATTTCTGTACAATGTGTTTATTTAAAAAAAAAATATATATATATATACCGTTAAACATATTTTTTATTTATATAATATTTGAATATATTCGTTATACGCCGGTTTTTAAAGAATTTTAATTATTTTTATAAAAGGCACATGTTACAAAAAATGCGTTCGTTCAGAGACACCATGTATATCAAACGCTTAAAGCACATACGTGTTCGTATTCATATATCACACCTCCTTCTCCCGAAAACTCACAGAAAAAGGTATACGAAGTTTTACATGAAATATAATATATATAT